TTCTGTACTAAGGAATCGATTGATACTCTTTTTCATTAATTGTCTCTTTAAAAAGAACAAAACACAATGATAAACATTGTTTAATGCACAATAGCAGAATACAGCTAATTTATTGGTTGGTAAGAAAAAGTGTCAAAAGTATTATGGAAAATTTTGCCACTTTTTATTATCAATATTGACATTTTTTGTGGTGCAAAATTCTACATTTAAATTGCAAATTATTTTGATATTGCTGAGTATATATTCATTTGCAAAAATATTCACAAGAAATATATTTTCATAATATACTACTCTCAGTAACCTTCCAAAACCTCATTCTTTTTCTTATTTGTTTAAAATACTAAGATAAAATAACTTATGAGATAGAAAGCAATGTTATGAAAAATTAATATTAGAAGAAATGACAAACACCTTTGGTATTGTATTATTCCAGGGTATTTTGACAGATTCATCCATGGTTTTATAACTGTAAGTTACTATTCACAGAATACATAATAACAGAGTTGGAAGGGACTTTGGAAGTCTTCTAGCCCAATACCGGCTCAAGCCAGAGACTCCATACCATTTCAGACAAATGGTTTCCATCTATTGCATCTTGTCCTACATTCAGGTGCTTTGGAGATCCCTTTTTCTTTTTTGGCAGCCCCTTAGATATGATAGATATGCTATTATGTCACCCCTAGTTGTTTTTTCATTAGAGTAGTTCCAGTTTCTGTAACCATTTTTCATATATTTTAGTCTCCAGTCCCTAATCATCTTCACTGCTCTTCTTTGCAGTCTTTTTAGAATCCCAACATCTTTTTTATATCATGACAACCCAAACTGAAAGTAATATTCCAAGTATGGTCTTACCAAGGCATTATAAAGTGGTACTAATACATCAAGTGATCTTGATTCAGAGGTGGCATTCAGCAGGTTTTGAGCAGTTCTGGAGAACCAGTAGCAGAAATTTTGAGTAGTTCAGAGAACCAGCAAATACCACCTCTGACTGGCCCCTTCCCCATCTATTCTCTGCCTCCCAAGTCCCAGCTGATCAGTTGGGTCTTCTTTTGTTGTTCCGCACAAGAGAACGGAACTGGAAAGCAAGTTAATGGGGTGGGGAAGGAATGGGATTTTGCAGTAACCTTCCCCTGAAGTGGGGTGGGAATAGAGGTTTTGCAGTATCCTTCCCCTGCCATGCCCACCAAGCCACGCCCACCAACCCAGAGCTACAGAACCAGTAGTAAAAAAAAAAAATTGATTCCCACCACTGTCTTGATTGTATCCCTCTTTTAATGCAGCCTAGGACTGTGTTAGCTTTTTTTGGCACTTGCAGCATACTGCTGGCTCATATTTAAGTGGTTATCCATTAGGACTCTTGATCCTTCTTATTTCTTTGGAGTCAGATACCATCCATTCTATATCTGCGCATTTGGTTTTTTTATCTAAAAGTAAAACCTTAACTTTTCTTTCCATTGAATTACATTTTATTGGATAGGGCCTAGGGCTCTGGTCTTCTGAGATCCTTCAGGATCTTCAGACTGCCTTCTAGAGTATTGGCTGTTCCCACCAGCTTGGTGTTGTCTGCAAATTTAATGAGTTACCTTTATATGCCCTTGTTTAAACCATTTATGAAGATGTTGAAGAGTACTGGTCCTAAGACAGAACCTTGAAGTACCACTCTGCATACTTCCCTAGTGTAATTGTTGTTATTGTTAATATTATTATTGACATTTGTTGCAATCCTTAATTCATTCAGGCCCTTAGCATTTCTGACTTCATCTTAGCTATTTGCTAATATTCTGCTTTAGTTATGTGCCCCTTTCTCCATTTTTTATACATGTCCATTTTGTCTTTCAGTTGATCAGTTTCTTCTGGTATCTTATTTTTCTTCTTCAGTGATATTGGACTGGGTTTTTAAAATCTTACTTTTTAAAGTTGCACAACTTCTTGATTATTTTCCCCTTGAGGATTTCCATCCATGGAATCTTTCACAAACATTATCTAAGTGTGTTGAGATCAGATCCCTGATCTTTGTTCTATTTCTTGTGCTTGATTATGTAGAATTCCAATAATACTAAGTCACTGTCCCCTAAAGTTCCTGTACGTTCAACTCCTTTTATCTATGAGAATTGTCCAGTATGGCTGATCCTCTTAATTCCCTTCTCTACCTTTTGTGAGATAGAGTTGTCTTCTAGATTTATCAGGTACCTGTTTGATCTTTTGCCAGGTGCAGTTTGTCTCTTACTTGATATCCAGGTAATTAAAGTCACCTGTTACTATTTTGGTGCACTTCTTACACACACACTAGCTAACTGGTTAGCAAAAATGTTATCTATTTCCTCTGTTTGGTTGGGTGGTCTGTAGTATTCACCTTTCACAATGTCATTCCTTTTTCCTTTTATATTAAACCAAATGCATTCAAAGTTTTCATCATTTGTTATTACATTTCTATAGAGATGCAATGATGTTTTATGTATAGTGTAACTCTGCCTCTTCTTTTATTAGGCCCATTTCTTTTGAATAGTTTAAATCCCACTAGCCACATGCTTCAGTCATGGGTTTCATCCCAACAAGTTTTGGCAATAAAGTCATGTCTGCCCTCATATACTAGGATTTCTCTTTGTTCCTTCTTTTTTCAATTTTAACATGCTGGCTAACATATGGATTGAGGTTTTATTGCATGCTACATTATCTGGACTGGAGAATTTTTTCTCAAAATTAGTAAATAAACTGATATTAAGAGGAATTAAATAATACTTCTATTGTATAAGAGTTCTGTTTATATCAAATATTACTTATCTAGATAGCCACATGAATTAATTTGTTTTTTGCATTGATATGCACCATTTATATGTTTGAAAATTCAATTTTAAAAAATTATATTGAAACTAAATTTTCATGATTTCACCTTTAAAGTAATAAAAACCAATTGTTACAATTTGAAATTCTATTTCTTTTGTTTGTACTAATGTATCTCAATAAAGACTAGCTGCCTCCAAGATGGTAGATTTTATCAGCATCCACTGACCACTGACTTATCTCACTTTATGCTACACTTGAAGTTATGTTTTAGATACTCCCTGATTTTGATAAAGTTTATCTGCTTAAAGTCTAAAATTATACTTTTTTATTTTATGAATTTTATCTAATTTTATCTGCATAAGGAATTCAATGAGCAAAAGAATTCTATACAATAGTGCCCATGTTCTACTTTGTGGATATTACATGGGCCTATACCCACTGTTGGAACTGATAGTTGAATTAGATATCCCTTTGTTCAGATATAATAAGCAGATTCAATCATACATCTTAGTCCTTGTGCTAATGTGTGCATTTTTTCCCTTTAACTCTCATCAATGTCTTTATGTAGGATTCTTTGAGGTTGGACCTATATATCAATTTTTACATAGTTATTTAATTGTTTACTACTTTAGTAATATTTCTTGTTCTTTTGCATTTCCTCCCAAAATTCCAATTATATTTATTTAGGAAGAAAAATAAGACTTTAATCAAGCTATTTGCCTTTCATTTACAGTTTATTTTTCTCTTATTTGTTCTTCTACAGATATTTTGTTGAATTTGAAAATGAATCTTGACCAAGCTTAGTATATCATATTTAAATTCTTTCAGAAAAATGTTTTTATTAATCTTTTTAGAGTAGTATTTTTAATATAGTTTTTAAACAGTAAGTTCATTCAAGTGCAAACTTCTGAATTTGCAGAACACACAACAGTAGAATTGCTACCATATTCTTTGTATATCTGCGTCCTTCAACTGAATAGAAGGGAGGAAATAATAGATGAAGAATGAAAATGATATGACGATGTGTTTTTCCTGCTGATTTTTTAAAATACACTTTTAAGAACAATATACAAACACAAAGATTGGAGCAAAAGCATACCTAATTCAGTATCCAATGACCTCTCTAATATGTTTACATGAGACCACAATCTTTCCCCATGATGGTCCAAACTATGTTAATGCTATGATCTACATTCAAAACAGAAAGGGTGATTTGGACTGCTTCTGGACTGACAGATGTAACATACAAGAAAATAATAATTAGGGGTAACATGAGAGCAGTATTTCGGTATTTGAGGGTCTGCCACAAAGAAGAGAGGGAGTATTCTCCAAAGCACCAGAGGGCAGGACAAGAAACAATTGTTGGAAACTAAACAAAGAGAGAAGCAACCTGGAATTAAGGTGAAACTTCCTAACAGTGAGGACAATTAACCAGTGGAACAGCTTGCCTGCAGAAATTGTGGGCATTCCATCACTGGAGGTGAAGAAGAGACTAGACAGTCACATATCTAAAATGGTACAGGATAGGTTCTCCTACTTGAGCAGGGGGTTGGGCTAGGACACCTCCAAGGTCCCTTCCAGCTCTCTTCCCTTCCCCTTCTCCTTCTCCTTTTTCTTCTCCTCTCTTCTCACCAGGCAATCCAGTTAATGTTTTCTTCTTTGTGGATCATTTCACAACCTTGCAAGTACTGTTCCTTTTAATTTAAGATTCCTTTTTTGTTTTGGCTTTTTGAGGAGCAGGTCATCACATGTTCAGTAATATATACTTATATAGAATATTAAAGCAACTTCTTCAACTTTGAGTCTTTAAGATTTGTTGGAATTGCAGCTCCCAGAATTCCCAATGGCATACACATACTACTATATGGAGATTATCAGGTTGAGAAAGACTAAATAAATATGTAGCATAGGATCTGACCCAAAGCACATCTGTTTGTAAAAGATGTAGTAAGATGTTGTAAAAGATAAACTTATTTTTGGTTTATATAACTTTTTAAGATGCATTTGTAATGCAGTTTTATCATATTGTCAGGAAGGAAATTGCTTAGAAAATCAATTTGGATCACATGAAATGAATCCTATGAAAATCATCAAGACAGCCTTTACATGTTGGTGAAATACTTTGATTGCTGTTAGATATATTATTTTCAAACAGAAAAAAGGAATAAACTATTTCAAAAATAACACATACCTCATTATGTATGTTTTTGGTTCAGGTTCCGATTTAGTGGTCGTATCCTTGGTCTTGCTCTTATTCATCAGTACCTACTTGATGCTTTCTTCACAAGGCCATTCTACAAAGCATTGTTAAGGCTGTGAGTATTTACAGATTCAATGGAAGAAACCAGTATGACATTACTTAATCACTTGGCAAGGCAGGATGAGTGGAATTTTAAAGACAGTTTTAATTTATTTACTCATTTATTCATTCAATTTATACAGGCACCTGTTCAGTACATGTCTCAGGTCAGCACACATCAATAAATTATAGTTAAATTCATATAAAAAGGACAAAGTAAATATAAAGACATCAAGTGCCAAGAAAATTCATTAAAAATTCATTCATGCCAGTCTCTGACTTAGTATCCTGGGGAAGTCTTGCTTTTAAAAAGCAGGCAGAATTGAGACCAACCCAATCTTATAGAAGACACTATTCCAAATGGTGGTGCTGTTGGCACTAGAGAAGTTGTTTCTTCTGGATCTCACCAGATGATATTGCTTAAGTAGTCTAGAGTATGCTGACCCTTTTAGAACTTACAAGTGGAGTGGAAATAATTAGAAAGAGATGGTTCTACAAATAGTTTAGCATGAGAAGCTCTATAGATAGATAAAAACCAGCTCCTTAGATTGCGTTCAAAATCTCACTAGTAACCAGGGTAGCTTGTGAAATGGGCTTGTGAAATGGTTTCCTAATTACCCATGTCATTATATTTTGGACCAGTTGCATTTTATAAGTGGCTATCAAAGGCAGAACCATATAAAGTGCATTTCATTAATTATGAGCTGACCGTAGCAGGTGTGTCTATAAGCAGGGTCTCCCAGTCAAAAAGCAGGCACAACTGGTGTGCAAGTAAAAGCTATAAAAATGCTGTCCAACCCAGTTGTTCAAATGGGACAAAGAGTCTAGAACCCCCAAATTGCACACCAGATTATTTGGGATAGTTCAAACCAACCCAGAACCAAAGGTGTAAAAAAATTTAGTTCACAATTTCATACCTACTTATGCAGGAAACATCCAGATATCCTTGGATGGATGGGAAGGTGAATAGATAACTGGTATCAGCATGTTTATGAAATTTAATCTGTGCCAATTGTGTGACTGATAGAATTCATTGAGGAGTTGCAATAATCTTCTACCTTTAAAGCACAGTGAGCCTGTTTTCAAAAGGCTTATTTGTGCAACTCTTGCCTTTTAAAAATGTATTATTCAAGAATCACAGATAAAACTATTTTAAAAGTTTAAATGGTTATACAGTCTACACTATAGTAAAATAACTTTGTTCAAGAAAGAAAGGTTCCCTTTTTAAAACTAGAATATCAATTACCAGATTGTGTTGGTTGAATATTATATTTATGTATGATGCATTCATATACATAGCAATGTTTAGGTATCAGAATGGGGGAAACCTTGAATTCAATAGGACATATCTTAATTTATTTATCTAAAATATATTTTGACAAAAGATATTTTATTGCCCTTTTATTGTATATGTTACAATGAAATATTTTGAATTACTGCTTTGTAAGAAAATCTGTATAGCAAAGATTTGTATGAATAAAAAAAATCCAATAACACTTCATGATCAGAAGACAACAATATCAAGTATGAACCAAGAAGTAATTCACTCTAATAATATTAAGAAAATATATATCTAATCATTCTAAATCTAACAAGGAATTTATTTCTTAACCAACTAGATGATCCCAAGGAAGCTGATACAAAATGGTGCAGTAGAATTCTTTATGCAGTGGCAGTAAAATTTGGAATATGAAGAATGCTGATTCTTCATATTCCAAATTTTACTTCCCTGCCACTGAACAATGTTTAGCTATGCTTAGCTATAGTTGCAGGTAGCTAATGACAGTTAAAGTTTGAAATGAGGCTACTATTTAATATTTTATTGTTTGAAACTTGAACATAATTTATTGTTTATTGTCAATCAGTCCATGTGACCTTAGTGATATGGAATATCTGGATGAGGAATTCCACCAAAGTTTACAATGGATGAAAGACAACATCATTACTGATATTCTGGATCTCACTTTCACAGTGAATGAGGAAGTGTTTGGACAGGTAAGTTAATATGAGTCTATTATAAATTAAAAATTAGGAGTCATAAACATTTCAAATTAGGAACAAAGCTTAACTGGAGATCAATTATTAAAACAATAGGAGGGCAAGAAACAGCAAGTACAGTAAAAGTCAAATATTTATTACAATTAAAGATCATCATATATCTGAGCTACTAAAATTTCAAATAGATTAATATTTCTTATCACTTAGATATTAGAAAATTAGGAATCTGCTCCAAATAATACAATTTAAGTAAAGCTAAATTAAAATAACTGAGAAATGCATAGTTTTTGAATGTTAAGATTGATAAATATTGAGATTAAATTTTAAAAACCATATAAAAACTCTATTTGATCTAGATAGAATTTTTGAAAATAAAAGTTGGAAAAATTAGTCCTGGTTGCTTTATTCAGAAAACTACTTTTTGGGTAAATGGTGAAATAATGAGGATTTAGAGAATTTATTACTCATTTTAATTACCAACACATCCATTTTTTAAATATTGCTGGCCCAGAGAATTAATACAGTTTTAAAGATAATACTGATTAGAAAGCAAATAAGTTATGAGCCATCACTGCATTGCACTCAGCTCATTAGCCATATGTCCAGAAGTGGGTTGTTATAATAGAATTTCTCTTCAGTGGCCTGGAACTGACTACACAATATCTCCAACATATGCCCATTCAATAAATTGGTTCATTGTGGTTTATAGCAAAAGCATAGACATCCACAACAAGGAACAATAAAACATCCATGATAGGTCTCAAACAAATACCACATTAAAATATTTATGCTATGTTAAAAATATTTAAGAGGTGAAATAGGAACAAAAACCTAATACTATCTAATACTATGTTAGAAAAAAGTCATAGAAAAAGGCTCTATTGTAAATTGATTCCTCAGTATTGTCAGGAAGAATATAAATGCTCAATTCAAATTTGGATAACGAAATAAAATAATGCAATTTGAAAACTGTGTAACAATACATACCTTCAGACAGTATCTTTTTTGAGCAATATTTGATTGTTAAAAGTACTTGTCATGGTAGTTTCTCTATTCCTGCCCAGTATTTATGTTTTGCTTATTTGATTTGTTTTGTAGGTAACAGAAAGAGAGTTGAAATCTGGAGGTGCAAATATACAAGTAACTGAAAAGAACAAGAAGGAGTATATTGAAAGAATGGTTAAATGGCGAGTAGAAAGAGGGGTTGTTCAACAAACCGAGGCACTAGTTCGTGGCTTCTACGAAGTATGTATCATATTAAATCAAATAAGAGTTGAAGAGTCATAAACATAAGAGTATTTCAATTATAGCAAATGCAGTACAAAAAAGGACAAAGAATTAATTGCTCCAGTAGTGGTTTCAAATCTTAATAGAAAGCATCAGTATAAGTGGAAGACATATCATTATTTAGACCAGGGGTGTCAAACTTGATTTCATTGAGGTCCACATCAGGGTTTATTTGACTTCGGGGGGCTGGGATGGGCATGGCCAGGGTGGGTTTGGCCAGCTTGATGTCACTTGTGTCGGGGGTGCCAGTGGTGGCCTGAGCACTCTGCCAGGGAAAACAGGCTCCCAAGCTCCATTTTCAGCTGTGATGGCCTCCTGCAACCCTGTGCCAGTGAAAATGGAGCGTGGGGGAGCTATATGCGACCCTCCCAAGCTCCATTTTCACTGGCAGAGGCATCGTGGGGCAGTCCTTTACTGTTTCCAAGGCGGCCTTGCAGGCCAGATCTAAGCACCCTGGGGGCCAGATTTGGCCCTCAGTCCTTGAGTTTTACACCCCTGACTTAGACATACCATGCTTATATGCCTTAACATTTGTTTTCATTTAAGAAATTGAATTTTCACTTCTATTTTTCAGTAGTTTGCCAATTTTTGGAGCAAACCTATGAAAAATAGAAGTGCAAATTCCATTTTTAAAATGAAAATAAATATAAAGGATTGTGCCTATATAACATTAGGTTTCCCTCTACAAACTTTCACAGAAATTCTGATACTGCCCATTGCTATAATATTTTCCCTTGTGCCTGGGCCCAAGTCCCTTAAATCAGCAGTCCCCAGTCTTTCCAGCTTAGTTGCCCAGCAAGGTAAGATGTGTGAGTGGCAGGTGCACATGCGTGTGTGAAGCTTCACTCGCACGAAAGAAAGCACTTGTGCTTTTTCACAAAGCTCCATGTGAACACAAGCATCCTATGTTGATATGAGTGGAGTTTCATGCATATGTGCTTGCCCATCTCTCCTGTGATCCAGTTTCAAACAGGTTGCAGCCCAATAGTGGGCTGAAGCCCAGGTTCTGGGGACCCCTGCCTTAAAAGAGATTATTGATGACCAGTTTGGAAGTTTTTGCACAGTTTCTGAGTCCCATTTTGTAAGCAATGGAAAATTGGCAGCTTAAATCGAAGCCATAAATCTTGGTTGTGCAGTTTTTTCTATTTTTCCTCCTGTTTTTTTTAAAGTTTAATGAAGATTTTCATCTCTTAAATATTGCTATATATGACAATGACAATGTCATACACTCCCCCTGCTCGTGATTTTAAAAAAAAAACCCAACAACAAACAGGGTAATTTTGGCTCAAACACTTCAGTGATATCAATATGACAAGTCTGCAGTTTTGTTGGAAAAATTTTTGAAACTGTTTTGCCATTGCCTCCTTCCCAGGGCTGAGAGATCGGATGGTCCAAGCACAGGATTAGAACTCACATTTTCCTGGTTTAGCCTGGCACCTTCACTACCATATCAAATTGGCTCTCTTCCACTATTCTTTTCTATTTATATAATATTTAAAATCATTTTCTTCTACTGATGTAATATTTAAAATAATTAACATTTTTGTATAAAAAAACAATACATTTTATTGAGTAGTAATTGATCAATATTACCATTTATTGCTAATGGCAGAGAATGGTGAGTAGATCAGTAAAATCTTAATAAGATCAAAACTATGTAAGCAAACAATTAACACATATTAATAGAATACTTGGGGGGAATAATTAAAATCTCTAATAATTGGAAACCAGCTTTCACGAATTTGCAAATATACCTAGCTTGAATCTTAACATTTCTGTATTTATTGCTAGCATGTGTGCTTTATTTTTCAGGTCGTAGACTCAAGACTTGTTTCAGTTTTTGATGCTAGAGAACTAGAATTGGTGATCGCTGGCACAGCTGAAATCGACCTTAATGATTGGCGCAATAACACAGAATATCGGGGTGGTAAACATTGCAATTATTCTTCCTCACCATTTTTTCATTTCATTAAGTCCTGTTAATGCTGGGAATTTTGCCCCATATCTTTAAAGTATTGTAATTTTATGTGTCAAATTACTTACTTTATAGATTGTCTAATAACTATACCATTTTTATACATATTGGATATGCTTAATTTAGATATACCAGCAATTACATAAAACTAATGTGGAAAAAAACACACATATCTTGGGTAGATATGACTAGATAATGCAAAATATAATGTTTAGTTCATCTTCACATCCAATAGTGTCTTTTTGCCCTGATTCTAATGCATTTGTCTTTTACCCATTTTTTTTTCAGGTTACCATGATGGCCATATAGTAATACGATGGTTCTGGGCTGCAGTAGAAAGGTTCAACAATGAGCAAAGACTACGGTTGCTGCAATTTGTTACTGGTACATCTAGTGTCCCTTATGAAGGCTTTGCAGCCCTTCGAGGGAGCAATGGATTACGACGTTTCTGTATAGAGAAATGGGGTAAAATAACATCACTTCCAAGGTATGTTTCATCATAAAATAATATTCCATCATTCATAGTTTGGTATAAATTTGTTTTCATTGATATTTTTATTAATGACAAGACTATTTGAATATTCTACCTCTGAATATTCCAATTTATCATATTAAAGACTGGTTGAAAAAGACATCCTAATTATTATCCTAATTATAGAAAAGACAGGCTAAACATGATAAAGGCCATCAATTAGAAATGATTCAGGATAGAAATTCATTTGGGGTTCATAGAGGATAACAAATAATTAAATGTTGAGAAATCTTAGTCAACTAAAGCAAGTTTTCCTTTCCTAGATGGTTTCTTGTTTTGCCATTCTTTCTTTTGTAATTTGCATGGACTGTTAAGGCCACATAGAATCAAAAGTAGAATACCATGACATGCAATTCAGAATAACTGCAAAAACAACATAGAAGGTAGGTCCCTGCAGCAGGGAATTCAAATACTATCATAATGCTAGTTTAAAAATATTAAACAAATTAATAAATTAATAGCAAACAAATTAAAACAAATTAATTGGTGCTCTTTTATTTTCTAAAGTCATACCATCTCAATTTGCCTAAAAGTAATTCTGATCCTATAAAAGACAAATTAAAGTATTGAAATTGTTTATAAAAGGTACTTGTAGTTCTTGTCATTCAAACTTAAAACTTCATGTTTTATAATCATGTCTTCGCCTATACTTGCATTTCTAGAAACCCAAGGTGTGAGAAATTATCAATGCTCAATAGGATTACATATATCAATACCCAGACACTATAATTATTATTGCTGATGATTTTAATGCAAGTATTTGCATTAAAATAGAGTTTGACACTCTTTTGCAAAGTTATTTTAAAAAACCAATGCTCCTTAAAACTGATGTGGTTGTTTACCAACTAGCCAGTCTAAATATAACATTGCAGAATTTCATTTGGTTCAACATTTGAACAGTTTAGATTAGGAGTGCAAACTCAAAGCCTGCAGGCCAGATCCAGCCCATGGGGTGCTTCGATCTGGCCTGGGGGGCCAACCTGGAACAGCAAAGGACCAGCCCATGGTGCTGCTGCTGCTGAAATGGAGCTTGGGGAGCCACATGTAGCTTCCTGCAGCCCTCTGCCAGCAAAAACTGAGCTGGGGGGTGCATGCGCCCCCCCCAAGCTCCATTTTTGTTGGCAGTGGGCTATCAAAACAAACAAAAAAAAAAACAAAAGGAGAAATGTTTCCCCTTTTGCATTTGAGTATGCAATGAAGGGACAGGAAAGGAGAAAGAGGAAAGACAAAGAAAAAGAAGGAAAGAGTGGATGGAAGAAAGAAGAAGAATGGTGAGGGAGGGAGGGAGGGAGGGAGGGAAGGAAGGAAGGAAGGAAGGAAGGAAGGAAGGAAGGAAGGAAGGAAGATTGTAATGAATGAGGGAAAGTATTAGGGAAGTCCTGCCTTAGCACTTGGCCACCACAGGTGTCCCCTACACGAGTCCCCTGGCATGTTCACCTTGCCCATACACCCAGCCACACCCACCATGGCCACACCCCTGGCCATACCCCATACACCTCTTGGCCCCTCTGAGGTCAACACAACCCTGATGCGGCCCTCAATGAATCAAGTTTGACACCCCTGGTTTACATCTAGATAGACTTAATGACAAGGGTGATTTACAAAGGGGAGTTTATGTTCTGGTGCCTAGTGGCCCAGTATAGTTGACTATATCATGATTACCTGGAGCTTTATTCATTTTATAGCTTACTTCTGTATTGAAATTCAAGATAATAGTGATCACTTTCCATTATTTTTTAATTCTAAAACAAATCTTGAATCATTAGTAGTCCCTTGCGAAGCAAGTATGTAACTAATGGTCCCATGGTTTGGCTAAAGTTTTATCTAGGCTCTTGACTTTAGAGCCCCTGTTTCAGATAACAAATCTGCCTGGCTGATTTCAATCTGTCTTTTGACCTGATTAAAGAATTAGTCTTTTAAAACCCACTGTTAATTTAAACAGTAATAACTAACACCATTCTTCCCAAATACGTGGTTTCACTTGCATTTACAGGTTTAAAAAGACCAATAAGGCAGGTGACATACATTGGACTATTTCTGACAAAGATGCCGTTTTTAAAGCTTTACATATTATTTTAATTTTGCAGGGCCCATACTTGTTTCAATCGCCTGGATCTTCCACCCTACCCATCATATTCAATGTTGTGTGAAAAGTTATTGACAGCCGTTGAAGAAACTAGTACCTTTGGACTTGAATGATAAAGGGGGTTCAATTGTTTCCTTGTCAATGACATCATTTCCTCCTGCTGCCATATGAATTTGATTTTCAGTATTTTGTTTCTGATGGAAAAGACAGAATAAAAGCTGTGCATGAAGAACAGCTTTCCTTTAAGAACTAACTTTCATGCTTTTCATCTTTAATTCCCAATGGACAATTACCCTGTATGCAATATGAAAACAAGTTCTCCATATATCTACACATACCTCCATTAGTAATAATGAAAATATGAATGCAAGTTATTCTACATTTGACCAAATGTTAATGTTTACTTCTATCTATGTTAATTTAAAAAGAACATTCATCAAGCATTCCAAGCTATATGTTCATACTTTCCATCTTAATTGTATTATGTCATCACCTTTGAAGTTGGTCAACAATCTCATTTATTTATCCTTGATTTTTGTACATATCATACAAAGGTGAAAAACACTTATGAGCAAAATTGAATTTTTTAATGTGAACTCATAATTCATATGAGTAGATCAGTTGGAATTGGGCCAGATAATGTGGTGCAGATAAGTTATTCAAAGCAACAAAACTAAACTGCAGTGCAATCAGAATATGTAATGATTATTAATAACTGCTAAATTAAATTAAATTAAAACATATATCTATTGAGGTATAATTAAGAGCTAATGCTTATTGAAATAAACATATTTGGGGGACTCAAGAAGGATGTCTTATGTAATATAAGAGGCAGCACCACTTTAATTATTGTACATAACAAAAAATAACAAGACTAATTATTTTCTTTTTCTCCTCTCATTCGGCTTATCAATACTTGGTTTTTGATGTTCCACTTCCTAACAGAAAAGTAATATAGACAATCCTGCACTATGTATTGGGAGCCATTATTGAAACTATAATGAGTGGCTTTGTTCCATTTCTCTTTGACATCAAATGTCACAAAATTACAGTATTTTTCAGAGTATAAGATGCTCTGACGTATTAGATGCACCTAGCTTTTGGGGAGGAAAACAAGAAAAAAAATATCTGCCTCTGCCTTCCAGCAATTTGCCACCTTGCAGCAAACAGCAAACAGCCTGGTTAGCTTCAGCACAGCCTGATTAGCACAAGCAGCTGATTGTCAGTTGGAGCTGCCTCCCAATGATCAGTTGTTTCAGGCTGCAGAGACCGTCATTGCCTATTTTCGCCACCACACCCCATTTTCAGGCTCCGCATTCTGTTTTCAGCCTCCACATGCCCCGTTTTTGGCTTCCGTGTGCACCATTTTCAGTCCATTCTGAGTGGCGGAGATCAGAACGGCAAAAAAATGAGACACACGGAGGCCCAAAACGGGGCATATGGAGGCAAAAATGGGGTGCGGAGGCCAAAAATGGGATGCAGGGAGGTGGCAATAGCAATGGAAATCCCTTCAACCAGCTGAAACAGCTGATCATCGGGTGGCCGATCCAACTAGCAACATTCAGCTGCTTGTGATAATCAGGCTGTACTGAAGCTGACCAGGCTGATCACTGTTTGCTGCAAGGAGGCAAATTGCTAGGAGGCCGAACAGCAGGTGGGTGGAGCTTCGGCAACATTCGCTGTATAAGACATACAGACATTTCCACCCACTTTGGGGCGGGGAGTGCATCTTATACTCCAAAAAATACAGTAGTTCTATTAAAATTATTTAGCCTAATTATATTATTTAAGAAGCTGCAGAGGGTGACGGAGTGGAACTAGTATGAATAAGAGAATGATGTTTAGGTCTGTTACCTAAACAACTGACCTCCATAATAAAGCTTAATATAGTAGTTGTGTGGGTGTAATGAAGAGTCTAAATTCCTCTGTACCCAGGTGAAACAACATACGGTTAAAAGATTCATTTTCTATTTCCAAAGTCAATAGAAAAAAAAATTAAATAATACTTATCTTTTTAATTCACTGCTGCTACACAAATTTTCTAAACATAAAATGAGAATAAAGTTGAAGCATATAATGGTGATTAAATTTATTGAACTCAGTGAGCTTTATTTCTAAGTATGTACAGTTTTGTTTTTAGTAAAAATAGTTCATATTTCTATAGTGCGTATCTTTAAGATTCAGTAAGTCACAAATTATTGTGTATGTAATTAAATTATCACAGGAAGAAAGTCATCAGTATTTATAGAAGTGGGCAGCTGTAACAAATTTAAACATAATAATAATCATAATTTAAAAACAATAAAATACTATATGAATGGAAAGTATCTAATTCTGGAAAAAGAACTTATGGAAGGGAAGGATAATAAAAAGAGATAGACCTTGTGAACAAAATTTTCTCTTTCCTGAAGTTAATGAACTAAGGAAGAGACCAAAGGAATACCTGTGATGACCCAGGGCATGGCACAAAGGCAACACAGTCACATAAGTACGAAGAGTTCCTTTAATACTTCCAACTTTGCCCCCATTGTTCAGGTTACCTTCAGCTGGAGAAAAACTATCCCAAGAACTGTCTTTAAATGGAGGAAATTCAGTCCAAAAACAAAGTACGTACAAACTGTAAATATAAATCCACACAAACCACACTGCAGCAATTAACTTGACAGGGCAGGATAAGGAATTGCAGACTTGAAAGGCCAACAAAACACACACAGTTGGAAAGATTCCAGGAACCCAGATAAGCCTTGACAATAACAGGTAACTCACAATTTGCTTCCAACAAGTTGCTGTGCGCAGCTTTCCTTTTTAAACAGCTGCAGCTAACGAAGGGAATCAGGACCCTTTCCTTCCCCATAAGTCATGCAACTCACATTGCTCCCTTCTCCGTTCTTCCCTGTGTGCCCTAAGATGAAGAGGGGATGGGGTTAGCTCTTCCTCTGAATTCCCTCTGCCTTGCTCTACTTCTTTGCTCTGCCCAACCGGACTGTGCCCTTCCCCAGTTTCTTCCACAGCCAACAGAGCCACACTCCCACTTCCTGTCAGCTGCTCGGCCTCCCCCTTGGAATCAGATTACGATAGGGGCATGACAATACCAATGAATATAGTTACCTCTATATATTCCCTCCATAATTACCAGTGAGGAAAAATATTTTATTTAGTATACCAAACTTGCAGCTAAAAAAATATGTTGGTCCCTGATCCAAATAAGGGAAAAGTTTTAAAGTGGATTAGCATAATCCAGCTATGGTTTTAACCGCATGTTCCACAGGAGGTTGTTTTTAAAACCAGGGACACATTAACATACTGTGACAGAATCATGCCTTAATTAGGTTGTGATTTTGTCTTCAGCAAATCTGAATTTGAAATATGTTCTGTACATCTTTTAAAAAAGGAAAAAATGTAACACAAAAAAGTCATTTGCAATGCCACATGACACCTGATAATAGTTTCAAACAGAAATACGAAGCATGAACCAGAGGTGATTTGTCTAAAAGCCTTCACACAACGCAAATAAGGCTAAATAACTTTAACCTGTTTAGTAAGGCTGATAAACCTTTAATTTAATAAGGTTAAAAAGAACTTCAACTAAACTTTTTTTTAAATAAGGAACTTTCCGCTCCAAAAGAAATATGTCTTTTAAAAATCTGTTTAGTATTCAGTATTGTGCTTTATATTATTAAGAATGAGATCATGCAATGTAATTTGTTAAAGAAATGCTTTAAATGAGCAAGTTCCACTGATTCCCCAAAGTTAATTTTAGCTTAAAAGATTTCTTTAGACTAAATAAATCAATCTAGGAACTTAGTATTATAATCTGTTAAATTTATCAATTGGAAACAAATGTTGATACCACTTGTATTTATTAAGTTTTTTTTAATCATACATCACGTGTTGTAACTGTTGCATAAAAATTATACTAAAAATTCCCAAGCATATTGTGAAATATATTGGCACTATCTCTGTTTAAGGAACATATTTGCAATTCTTTGAACAAGCAGGTAATCCACTATGACTTTAAGGCAAGGGTATCAACTTGATTTCATTGAGGGCTGCATCAGGATTGTGTTTGACCTCTGGGGATCGGTGTGGTTAGAGTGGGCATGGCCAGTTTGACATCACTTGTGTCAGGGGCATCAGTGCTAGCCTGACCACTCTGCCAGCGAAAATCAGCTCCCGAGCTCCATTTTAAGATGGGACAGCCTCCTGAAACTCTCTGCCTACAAAAAACAGAGCTCAGGAGGGAGGCACATGGCCCTCACAAGCACCATTTTTGGCTGGGACGGCCTCATGCCTCTGCCAGTGAAAACAGAGCTTGCACGTGGCCCTCCTGATCTCCGTTTTCACTGGCAGAGACACCACAGGCTGATCCTTCACTGGGCAAATCTAAGCACCCTGCGGACCAGATCTGGCCCAAGGGCCTTGAGTTTGCTGCTCCTGCTATATGTCATGCAGTAAGTCCTTCAATGGAATTCCATTCCCCCCCCCCCAAATTGGATTAAATGCAATTTACATTATTTGCACTTTTCTGTGGATGAAATCCTTCTGAAATTACTATATCTAAAGCATGATTTTTAGCATGCAAGATTAAATGCAATGTCACTGTGCACATATTTATGATATTAAAAATAGGATGGCATCTGGAAAAAAATAGCAATCACAAACTAGCCAAGACACATTTAACTATCCTGGGCGAAATATTATACATTTGCTTACTAAAAAGTAATTTCCATGCTTTACAACACTGTATAGTTAAAACATTAATATCTTTCAGAACTACATTTTATTAAAAATTAAAACTATTTTCTTTAGTTTGATAAAATATTTGTACGTGCTGGAAGGCATTTGAAGAAATACAGAGTCATAAATATCCATTAAAGATTTTGTTTTAGATGTCAGACATATTTTAGGAAGTGGAATAAAAATTGGTCATTTGGCCTCAATCTGACTAGTGCTGTTAGGCAAAAGGAATATGGAAAATATCTGATATTATTTATTCTTCATGCCATCTGAGCAAAACAGTTTTTCATTTCTTTTCTTATACCATTGGAGTATTATTTATTAATTATTTTGGAGCTGTATGGTTTCATATTAAATTGTCAGCAATTGATCCCACAATGATACCTAAGAAGATAAAGTATTGAACTTAATGCCTTAGAAATAGGCTTGAGGAGAAAAAACTATTTGCAGTTTTAAAATATGAGAAATAAAAGAAGAGTGTTGTCTTGAGACAGTGCTTTTTAGTAGAAAGTAACAGTAATTTTAGAAAACACTAATTTTTGTCCAATCTGATTTTTCCTGCTCTGTCCTATATTCAGAAAATGAGTACTCAATTCTACCTGACTTGGAATTGAAATTACATGGAAATTAGTGACACACCAGGAAAAAATACATAAGTTGTCAGGATATCACTCAATATATTACTTTGATCAAAGCCTTTTCAAATTTCAAAACATAAGAATTTCTGCTTGATTTTAACAAAATTGAAAATGGGTTTCCGTTGCTGAAATTTGATTTGCTATATAAAATTCATACACAAGCTATATTCATTTTCACCATGATTTCATATTACTGAGAAAAAAGTTTCTTGATCACTTTTGAAATGACATTTTGAGCCACAAAATGGATTCAGCAAATGTTGAGCCACACAGTTACAATTTCTGCAAGGTCTCAGTGTTAGCAAACTGGACAGTTTACTGAATTCAAGTGCCAAGGCTTTATCACACATGGGGATTAAAGTTTTTTCTGGAGATTTCATCACACACACACACACACACACACACACACCAAATGGCATAACTTTAAAGTGAAACTATTTATTTGTAAAAATATTAAAGTCAATGTTTCTAAGAAACATATTAAATTGCACATTTTTACACACAAATTATTGTCCTAAGCACAACAGTTTAGCTCTAAATTCTATTGAAATCAGTGAGGGTTTTTTTTCCTAATTCAGATAAAGTCTTGTTTTTAGAAAGTATTCCTGCTTCACCAAATACAGAAAAAAAAATTCAGAAAAATTCTACTGTAGTCCATGGACTACTGTCATTAACTTCAACCATGACACAGCCTCAGGAAGGAATTCCCAGCAAAGTTTTGCCTTGT